GCTGCGGGCTGGGCTCGGGGCTGACCCGCCCGGGGGGTGGGGAGGGGGGACAGGCTGGGTTTAGGGGAAAAATGGTGCTTTCCCAAGTTGCGGCTCCGCCGCCTCGCTGTTGCGGTTCTCGGAGCAGTGGTTCTGGGGGGAAAAGGGGAGTTTTCTGGTCCCGGTAATTGTCCCGAGATGATGCTCTGGCATCGGTGGGAGCGCTCAGCGTTGCTGGGATTGGGGTGGGACTGCTTTGTGCCGTTGGGATTGGGATAGGACTGATTTGTGCTGCTGTTTCTGGGCAGAAGGGGGAAAAAAAGGTGGTAAAATTTAAATGCCAGCAAGTGAAATGAAGGTAGAACAACAGTGACTTCGAATGCGTCACGGCTTAGGAGACACGGTGTGATATAGCCCAGAAAAATCCACTCCTGAATTATTTCAAGTTGCAGTGGGGATATGCTCAGGGAAGACATCAGAGAAGATCAGATGAAATCAGCGTTTGTGTTGGCTGCAGTTACTGCGCAGTTTATAAAGTCAGTAAGATTCCTTGTGAGAACAAGAACATTGACTGTAATGGAGTAAAGTTTCACAAAATACTCTTTTGCCGTATCCCTCAGATCTTTAGAAGCCAAATAAACTGTTCAGCACAGCTTTTGGTTTGGTGTCTGAGAAGTAAATCTAAGGAAGACCTTTGCTGTGGCTGAAAAATTTCCCTGTAATGTGACATCTAAGTCGTGGTCACTCATAAGATCGAGTCTTCATCCTTCCCTACTAAGAAGTGTGTCAAAGGGACAGTGAGAAAGTAAGCGGCTCCTTAAAGAGGGAGTAGGATACAACATGCCCGTTGGCACTTTTGTCAGGTACAATTACTGATAGTGTGTATCAAATAACATTTTTTTAAAAGATGTTTTGGTCTTTAATTTATGACTCAAAAATGTAATTTCCTTTGGACGAGTATGGATAATTTTAAATCTTGGCTATCCATTCATATAAATGATTAAAGCACAAAATATGCACCCTCAAATATCTATCTCACAAAAAATGTTCTTTGGGGAGGGGGAGGAAGGGAAGGTAATGGATGTGGGCTCCAAAAGGAGCAGTCTTTAACCCGAAGACACCTAGCGATCTATCTAAGGGCTTTAGAATATCCCTGTGTTTGTATACTTTCATTAAGGCTTGAGTCAGGTTGATGGCAAATCACTTAATGAGTTGCATCATTAATAACAAGCATCAATGCAATATTAATTTCTCACTCACCCTCCAAAAAGCTCAAATGTGTTACCATGCAAAGGAAGAGTGTCAGATGTGATTAGAGCTCGGTTACTGATACAGAAGAAAATGAAAATGAGGGTGCAGCTGTTAGAGGAGGGGGATTGTTTTTGCATTGCCATTTCCTCTTGTCTTGCACCAAAGTGGTTGCTACATTAATGCAGACCTGTTTTCAGTCCATTTTGTTAACTGAAAGCAAAAGATTAATGTTGGTTTAAGGTTAAAGATGTGTGGTGTGTGTTTAGCACTGTAGGCACCTGAATTTCTCTTCTGCAACTACTTCAAATTCCTAAGTTAGAGGTAATTTTCCAATTTAATGTAAGAACAGAGTGTTTTGTTGTATTTTCTTTGCTGGTCTCTTAAGTATATTACTTTATAAATGTTGTCACCTGATCCTAAATGCAATGATAGTTGAACTAGCAAAATACAAAATAAGAACATAAACACATGTAGTTTGTCCTAGCTGTGCACCTTATAATGTTGCATGCAACTATGCCAAATCTCATAAGCTGATCTTGTCTTAAGTCAGTGATCCCGAATGTGGAATCAAGCCAACGTGCTGCGTATAAGCCGTATATGTAAAACAGCCCAAAGGCTTTTGCCTTCAGAGACCACCATCTAACTCTACCTGTAATGGAGACTTCTCTGCATCCGGCTGCTTCTGCAGCAGTACCATCTGAGTAGGAATTGGCTTGCACAAACGGCCATCTCTGCACTTGAGGAAACAACCAATAACTCATATGTGATTGTGGAATTTATTAGCTTTTTCCTTTCTGCTGGGAGTACCCTTGCTCAGTGCCTTTTCCTGACTCTTGTGATCCTGATGGGGAGCTTGCTGAAGCGACCTGTGAAACCTGCAGGCTGCTCAACAGAACTGGCGTTGGGCCCTGTCACCCACCAGCAGAGAATTTGGTGCCTGGACTCGGTGGAGATCAGTGGCTTTGGATTAGAAACAGTGTGATGGTCTGGCCCTCTCGTCCAGGCTCATCATATACTGACAACTTGTTAGCGGTGGGGACCCAGTCAGAAATCCAGATATTGCTGTTAGCATCAGTGGGCTTGGAACAAGACCTCTTCCTTGGGATACAGCCTCTGTACCCCAAAGAGCTCCCATCTCGTAACCTGGTGAAACCTTTCTCAGAATAGCATCATAGGTCTGCCTTGTTGTAAACCGCTTCATTCAAAGTGAAACGAAATTAATTATTTTGTTAGGCAGATTTCCTTTTTAATCTGAAAGGGAACGTTTTGGAAAAAGATAGGTAAAATCTGGGGATTTTTTTAATTTTTGAAGTTACCTATCATAGCTAGAAGTAGTTAGGTGTTCAGCTGCATTTTGAATGCATTTTTGTTTTCGCCCTTTCCTCTCCTGGAAGTGTCACCAGAGAGTCATATTTTTAAAAGCTGTGTCAAATAAAAAAATAATTCCAAATAACAGTAATGTGTCTTCATTGTTCCTCTCCTCTTCCTCACTGGCTCCTTCAGAAACCTCACCTTTTTTGTTTGTTTTTGCAAGGTTTGCAGACATAGGAGAGACAGCCTCTGCTTCTAAGCATTATGTTTTTTTCTTTACTTTTCATATTCCTCATTATTAATAGTTTCTATATTATGTCTTTTTATGGCCTGGCTACATGTAGTTTCGATTATTCCCTTTACCAATGTTCATCAAATTTGCTAACAAGTGTTTTGTCCAACTTACTATTTCTGCTGACATCTTGTAAGTCCCCTCCACCCTGAAATCCCAATACTAATTATAAACTATACTTTGAAAACATTTTCTGCATCCTAGAAAATGACTGAAGATGTCTATAAAATCATTCAAGTGAAACAAAGAAACCTCAGTGTTTCGTGCTCAGCTCTCAGAGGCTGTGTGCCTAGCTTAATGCCTGGTTTTGGGTAGTGATTTAACTGGCACCTTTCGTTCTGTGGTTGATCAGTCAAAGCATAATATTACCCCAAGACAAACTGAAATGTAAAACTACACTTCTTGCACTACTAGCCACTAAAAAAAAAATATATTGTTTTCTTGCGTTTAGTTAAATAAGTCAAATTACATGATGATTGAAGATAATAAAGAGAATGAAGACCATGCATCTGAAAGAGGAAGAACAGCCATCATTTTTTCCTTGAAGAATGAAGTTGGAGGACTTGTGAAAGCATTAAAACTCTTTCAGGTATGCAATAATCACACTGCTACAGCAGCTCTGTATTTTTAAATTGTAAGGATAGTTCTGAAACAAACTGGAATTAATTCCCAACCTGGCTTGCACTTTGTACCTACAATTACACACCAAGTCAAATTTATGCCTCAGAAATTAGATCCTGGCTAGCTAAAAATACAAAATGTACCATCTGCACTTAGTAAAGACTGAGAGAGTTTTGCCTTTTCCCCTCAGGAAAAGAGGATTGGCATTCGTGATTTCTACTGCCCGTGGCAGGTAGATGCTTGGGGTGCTGACCCCCGCTGGGTTGAGTCCCGTGCCCTCGCCACCCTGCGTAGCCAGACGAAGGGTGCCCAGGAACTGCCGTTGGACAACCGCACTCCTTCAGGGGCTGGGCAGGTGTTGTGCAGGGAATAGGCACAGTGCCGCTGTGCCCCGTCGCTTGGCCCTGCATGTCTTAGGGTTTTCTCTGTGTTCCTGATATAATACATATGATTAAATAACTTTTCAGATAAAAGTGAAATATATGCCTTGAAAACTAGTGCTTTTACATCCCCTGCTTGCTTGTGAGATAATTATATGCTGACTTGATTGGCATTTTGGTGAATTTCCCCAGACCCGGTTGCTGATCAGCTTCCTATGGGAGGGATGAAAGGAAAAGGTCTATGAATTTAAGCCTCCTTTCTGTGCTTCTTGAATGAAAATGAAATTGAAAGAACACAGGTTGTCTTTCATTTTCTTCTGAACAGGAGGCTTTTTAAAATCAAACCATCCAACCCCACCCTTCCGCTCCAATAAGCAAACTGCTATCAAGAGATCCAATTAACTAAAGTAGCTTTGCAAAGGTGATGAATAGTCTATGCCAACAGAATATTAGTTTGAAAACCAAATTTTAGGTTTTAGTCATTTGGTTTTAGTTGATCTGTTTGAAAACACTACTTCTTATAAAACAGGAGAAGCATGTAAATCTGGTACACATTGAGTCACGGAAGTCCAAGAGACGAAATTCGGAGTTTGAGATCTTTGTGGACTGTGACAGTAACAGGGAACAACTGAGTGAGATCTTCCAGCTTTTGAAATCCCATGTCAGCGTTGTCTCTATGAACCCGACAGAACATTTCAATGTCCAGGAAGATGGTAAGTACAAAAAGCAGCTCAGATGAAAACATACTTCTCAATGTGTTGGTTTGAAACCTTTTTATGGTGTCCCCATCTGCATTTGTGTAGCATTTTCAGTCAGTACATACCAAGTTTATGCTGCTGTGTTGTGAGTGAGCAGGACTGCGTTGGCTGGCATCACCTTGGAATACAGGCTGTTTCAACCTGGTGCACATTGTGTGTCCATTTTCCGTGCTCCTGCCCCTGCCCAGTACAGCACATCTGGCATCAGTGGGAGTCCGTGCACCCGCGCAGGCAAAGGCAGGTCGGCATGTAGGCTGAGTCTGAATGCAGGGCTTGGCTGGGGACTGTACACCATGGTGACAGAGGTACGATGCTGACAGACACCAGTTCAGACACCGGTGAGAGTGGGAGATGGATTCTGCAATTTCCTTACGTAGCTCTTGAGTAAAAATTCGTTTTCAACTGCTGCCCTTCCTAACTGATTACTTACATTAGTGTGAAAGAGGTGCCTTTAGCTTTAGGATGCTTCAGATCCTGTTTACCTTTGCTTGGTGTTAAAGAGATGCCTAAAATTCAGGGCAGTGGGAAGTCAGTTCCGTGTATTTCTCAGCCACAGGCTGATAGGTAGGGGAAGGTGACATCTGGTGTCTCTTGGGTGAAAATAACTTACTTTAGCCCTAAGTCAGGGAATTTTCAATCTAAACCCTCTCCCTTGTCTTTTTTAAGAATGCTGAAGAGCATTGGGGTAGAAAACCAGTGTATTAACTTGTCTGCCAAGAGCTCTGTTATAAACCCTCTTGGGCTATAAAAAAAATAGAAGAAAAAAGTAGTCAGTAGCAAAACTGTAATGAAGCATGTCTCCAAGTCTGCAGGGCTGAAATTGTCTCCTCTTCCTCCGTAAACTCCTCAACAAAGCCGAATGCTTCTGGGGTACTAACCACACAGCAACATTTATTTCCCCGTGGTCGGTAGAGCAGGATAGGAAGGCTCAAACCTGGTCCCTCTCTGCAGGGACCACAGGTGAATCGCTTCTCTGCTCCTCTGCACCCTTTGTAGCCTAGAAGCTTCACGCAGCACTGTGCACCAGGAGGCCTTGTCTCAGTGAGAGCCTCCAGCTCATACTCCAACAGTAGTAACAGTGAGGGCCACAGCAAACCCCTGTTAACTGTTTCCTCCCCTGGACGCTTCGGAGTCGGCTGTGCTCTGTGGGCAGACTGTGGCAGTGACAGAGGAGGAAGTGTGAGCTGTAGGCTGGTGCCAGATAGGCAGTGGGCTCCCTTGTCTTATTCATGACCCTTTTAATTTATAGATTTCGCTTGTAACCGCTGTAGCCATACTTGAAAGTAGCGTCTCCTCCCTCCGTATGCTTGGTGTTATTAATAACCTTGTGGATTCCATGCGTCCCCTAGACATGGATAGTGTTCCCTGGTTTCCGAAGAAGATCTCTGATTTGGATAAGTGTGCAAACCGAGTGCTGATGTACGGGTCCGATTTGGATGCTGACCATCCAGTAAGTATTTTTCCCCCCTGTGCCCAATCCTTAGTGAAAATGATCTTTGTGGAGCTTACTGGAAAACACTGCAGCTTTTTCTCCTCCCTCTGCTTCCCCTCGGTGACACCTCTGTGGGTCTGAGCACCTTCTCTTGGGGGTTTCATGTCGTCTTCCTAGTTCAGGCAAGGCTGTCGCTGAATTTGGTTCCTGACCCTTTCTGCAAGGCTTACTCGTGCGAGGACTCTGGGTCTGGGCCCTGAGCGGTCGCATACAACTTAAAAAAAAATAGCTCTTGTGAGGCAGTCTTGGTTCCTCTTTCTCTTTTCCTTACTATAATTGGAGCAAACAAATTGGTATATGGGCAGTGCAAATGGGCAATTTGTTCTGTAATTTAGAATAATCAAGCAAGTAACAAAGTTTGTATGAATACCGATATGACTAAATGAATCCTTGTCTGCTGAATCTATATTTGTGTGCACAAAACCGCTGATCCTTCTTTTGAATTGGATTATTTGCTCAGTTCACAGTTATTAAACATTTCATACTGCAGCCATGAGGTTCCTGACCTGTCCTCTCATTCTTACACAGCATGCTTTTATATATCCCAACGGAAGAAATTTCAAGTGTCTTGTTTAAAATTAATTTATTTACTACAGCTTGGAAACTCATTATTTTTTCTCCTCTCCCCTGCCAGGGTTTCAAAGACAATGTCTATCGCAAGAGGCGAAAGTATTTTGCAGACCTGGCTATGAACTACAAACAGTAAGCTTGGTTTCTTCCAGAGAAGGCCTTCTGAGGGTCTGGAAAATAGCAGAGTGATCTGGCAGAAGCTCACCTTCCCTGGGCTCAGATCTCACTGAGACATGCTTGGCTTAGGAATCAGAACTGGAGGAGTAAAACAAAGGGAGATGTAAGACAAGATTAAAAGGTAGATCTAGGCCATCTTACAGCTCCCTGGGGCCTCTGATCAGCCTGAGGCCATGGTTGCTTGACCATTGTGGCATCTGCAGCAGTGCTGATCCTCAGGCGGGCAGTGATGCCAGCATGGGCTTCCTGCAGCGTGGTGCATCTGGACTCTGCGGTCCCTGCCCCTTCTCTGGAAATGGGTGCCACAAAGGAAGAGGGTGAACAAACGCCTCTTGCACAGCTGCCTGTGCCAGGATATAGTGACTAGGGCAGACTGGTCTGCTTTGCGAAGGAGAAGGAAGGGAGACGGAACCCAATATATAGCCCGTTGACCACTGAGCGTAAACTTACTGGGCAAATGTTTACACTTTAGTTTTCTTTCCTGGTTCAAGCTAGTGCATGTGATGTGTAGATAAGAAATTTTCTGTGAAAAGAAAACTTGAAGAGCTTCTGTCTTTAGAGATGCTGACTGGGGGAGGGAGCTCTTAAAGCAGTAAGAGTTTCATAGCCCAGTGCTGTAAACTCTTTCTAAACATGATTTTCATGTTGCTGTTGCCGGCTTGAATTTAGATGCCAAGTTCTTCAGTTCAAAATGACCTAGAAATGGTGGGTGTCTAGGGCTCTGTTCCACTGTGTATTAATGCAACTGATTATCACAGCAGAGAGCTGGTAACAGTGTGTTGTTAACAGAGATGCCCTTGGGAAAGCATCTGCCGTGCTGGCTACCTGGCTGGCAGTGGCAGCCAAGTGTAACGCTTCCATTGCTTTCAGTGGGCTTTATGTCACACCCTTCCTGTAATCCACTTTAATCAAGATCCTGAGGGCTAAATAGGAGACAGGGACTACAATTAATATGTTCAGACAGATGCTTGCCTCCTCTGCATAGTATGATTTACCTAATGTGTATATTTAGCTGCTTCCAAGCAATATGTTGTTAATTTAGGGAATTCTCTTTTTCTAAAACAAATCAAAAAGGTAATGGGAAGGAATTGCAGACAGGGAAGTTCAACAGGAAAAAAGCGTGTGTTCTCAGCTCCTAAAGCTGTAAAGGTTACACAGGTATTTTAAATGTTATGCTCAGCATTAAACACCTAAGAAACTGTTTACAGAACCGAAGCTTTCAGGCTCCAGCACGGTCAATGAAAAGATTCCTGTCAGTTGATTTAGGTGGAAAAGAGACCAAGCCCGTAGACTAAAAGCTTTCCAGGGCATAGACCAGATCTCGCTGTGTATTTGACAGCACCTAATGCACCGTGACCAGGTGTCACAGCCCTGTAGATGTTAAATAATAATAGTAGGTAAATAAGTCATCCGTTATTAGCCATTTACTGAGGAATTCCTTTTCTTCCTCTTGTCCTTGTAGTGGTGACCCAATTCCCAGGATTGAATTCACTGAGGAGGAGATCAAGACTTGGGGGACTGTGTACCGAGAGCTTAACAAGCTTTACCCAACTCACGCCTGCAGAGAGTACCTTAAAAACTTACCCTTGCTCACCAAATACTGTGGATACAGGGAAGACAATATTCCCCAGCTGGAAGATGTATCCCGCTTCCTGAAAGGTAACCTGCTAATTTTCTTACACAGAGAGGAACTGAGGTCCATTGCAAGTCACACTGCTGTTTTGTGGGCAAGAAAAAGCATCCTTGCTCACTTTTGCGTGTTTTCATTCTGGTCCTTTAAGAGGCCTTTTGGCTCTCTGTTTTAATGTCTGGGATATAGACAGACAGTGACATTTGAGGGGCAATGCTGCCTCTGAAGACACTGTTAGAATTGGCTGAAGAGATGCCCAGTTGTATTGTGTTGACTCTAGGCGTGAAATCATAGGAAATCAAATGACAGGGAGGTAGGGACGTTTTTACTAAATGTTGGTCATTCTCAAGCTTAGGCCTAATTTTCCCATGTGCTCTTGAGCCAAGCTACTGCTGTGGCCTTTACCCTAGGTGTAGCAAGAAAGGGGACAACATTGTGCAGTTCTATGTTAAACTAACGTGCAATTCCTCTGTTCCTTTTCAGAGCGCACAGGTTTTACCATTCGCCCTGTTGCTGGATATCTGTCGCCCAGAGACTTCTTGGCAGGATTAGCATTCAGAGTTTTTCACTGCACTCAATATGTTAGACACAGCTCGGACCCTCTCTATACACCAGAGCCGTGAGTTGTTTAATCCTGGGGTAGAGTTTGGGAGAGACAGTTTTGAATCTCGCTGCTCAGAGCCAAACTACTTAAAAGCTGTTCAAGAACACTAGGAAGAAGGCTTATTTTTCATGTGCTGAAGACAGCCTTCACACTGAATCTAATGAAGCTTTAGCTTGCTCAAGTGCCACCTTCATAGGTACAAGATTTTCAAAAGTAGAGCATGTTATCGGAGAGCTCTTACTGATATCATTGTGCGCAGAGTTACTTTAATGCTCAGTTGCATTATAAATATGGAGCTCAGATCTTAATTTGAGATAGCTTCATTTGAAAATCTGAGTTTATGTACTTATGTAGAGCTGGTATGACCTGCCCAGTTGCTTTCAGCTAAACATGATTGACATTTTTCTGTCTTTTGGATATTAAACAGTTTAACGTGAGACATGATATCTGTTCAGTGGTTCTGCTTTTTCACTGTACAACAAAGACCGATCATGAGTTTTCTTGTTTTGTTTCTTTTCCCAGCGATACCTGCCATGAGCTCCTCGGCCATGTCCCTCTTTTGGCTGAACCCAGCTTTGCTCAGTTCTCCCAGGAAATTGGTCTTGCATCACTTGGGGCATCAGATGAGGCTGTCCAAAAACTGGCAACAGTGAGTGTTTCAGTGCCTGGTGATCCCTCTGAAAGCTTTGTGCTTCACTAGGCTGAAGCACAAATCCACTTCATCAAATAAATTTGGAGCTTTATATCAGTGTTAGCCACACCAGCCGCTAGACCTATGCATTTCACTGGTTCTTGGCTTTTAGAGCATATAATGGTGTATAGGGAAAAAATACATTTTAAGGTTGATATGGTTGGTATTTTTCTTTGCTTGGCTCAAGAAAGGGTGCAACTTCTGGTGGTAGATCACTTGTTCCAGACTGAAATTCTATGGTCAGTTCTTTCAAAACAAAATCTTTTTACTTTTGGGAACATGATTCAATGATTTTAAAAGTAATCTGTTTCCTTTAATGTGTAGAGTGAATTGAAAGTGTTTTCATTGGATGTGGTGAGCCCTAGCATTAGATAACATTCAGCCAAGAAACTCAATTAATGTAAATTAATCTTGTTTTCTAGATATCACTTTGGATGCTTTGGCAAAAATATTTTAAGATGAAAATTAAATTTAGATGAAAAGTAATTGACCCCAGTTATGAAAGAACTGGTTTGCCGGTACTTTTGATTTCCCACTACCATCACCTGGTGCAGCTAGTGGTAAAATTTCTACTACCGTCGGTAGGACCAGAGTTAAACCATCTATGAAAATAGTGTTCCTCCCCACATACCTGCAGAAAACCTGAAATCCAGCAAACGAAACATCTTTAATTTTACAGGACACTAAGAAAATGAGAAAAAACTCTGGTGGGTTGATGTTTGCACTCACAGAGATCCTGTCTATACAGTGTTTCTCTTAAGCTGAAGCTGTCATGTCGTGACAGTATTTCTCAACAAAGATTTACATCTCCATGTTCCTACTGACATTGACAGCTTCCAGCCTAGCTGGGTGAGATAGGGTATCAGTCTTTGTTACGAGAAACATGCAGTCCTGTGGTTCTTCACCCTTCCATTCTGGCTTCCCTCCTCTTCGAAGCCCTGAGAAGGATAACCAAGTGATGATTGTCAGACATTTGCAACTGTTTGACGCCACCTGCCAATAGAAATGCCCCCACCTTGTTCACCACAGCCTGAATTATTTTACTCCTTTCTCTGTTTCAGTGCTATTTCTTCACTGTAGAATTTGGCTTGTGCAAGCAAGAGGGACAGCTGCGAGTTTATGGGGCTGGCTTGCTCTCTTCAATTAGTGAGCTCAAGGTAAGAATATCTCACTGCTTATTTGCCTCCTCTTAGTTTGTACCTGATTACTGTTGTCACTGTTTTACCCTGGTTTTTTATGAAGTATAATTTGAAAAATCTTTCTTTTGAAAACTCCAAGATACCTCCTAGGCTTTAAGCACATTCACTGTGGCAGTAATTACTGGACAGTCTGCTTTTGTATATATGCTGAGTGGCTCCCATGTCTTTGCAGGAAGCATTAGATGACTCTTATTTCTTAACGTTAGGTTCCAAGTAACTATTTTCAGAATAAAGCTCTGCTGTTTTAACCAGATTCTGAAAATATTGCTCTTGTTTACACGTGAGCCCTGTCTCTCGTGTAAGGAATTTCTATTTTGACACATATTGGCAGAATATGACGGTTCAGAGTTACTCTGTTTGCTAAGCTGTTGATCTGCAGATAAAATTTTTAAGGAGCAATCCACTAAATATAATCTTACTTAATCTTTTCCTTCACTCTACTTGATGTCCTCTTCCTCGTGGATTCTTTGTGTGGTGATGTTCCTCTGACACATGATAACACATTCTGGTACCAGCACTCGCTGTCTGGCAGTGCCAACGTCAAGCCTTTTGATCCAAAGGTCACCTGCAAGCAAGAATGCCTCATTACAACTTTCCAGGAGGTTTACTTTGTTTCTGAAAGTTTTGAAGAAGCAAAGGAAAAGATGAGGTACAGATTTTCTTTCCTGGTTTATAAAAGCAGGTTTGATTTCATGCATCTATAGTAGCAGCACCAAACCCTTTCATTCTTATCACAGATTTACAATTCTTTCATGGGGTTGGAAAGCAGAGATTAGTATTTGCTTGGTCTATCTTGTACTGAGTGGGAAGGATGGTGAACTGTGTAACGATTACAACTATTTTTAAAGAAAGTAAGTAGTTTTGAAAATTGGTTACCGGTACTGACTGCATACAGAGGATCTATTGGTGCTTTGTTTATAACTCCCTCTCTCTTTTTACCTCAATAGAGAGTTTGCAAAAACCATCAAGCGCCCATTTGGAGTGAAGTACAATCCATATACTCAAAGCGTGCAGATCCTGAAAGACACCAAGAGCATTGCCATTGTGGTGAATGAGCTACGTCATGAGCTGGACATTGTCAGCGATGCCCTCAGCAAGATGGGCAAGCAGCTGGAAGTTTAATAGCCCTGTGGCACTGTGATGCTCTCAGCAACGCTTTCCTCTTTTCCCTACCGATTTCTTTCTAGGCATATAATGTGTTGTGCAGAACTCTCTCCTTTACAAACGGAAGAGTGAATGGCCCATAAGGATAATCACTTTATCTTGTTTCTCTGTGTGAAGTCCCATACAGAATGTAACCCTCCATCCCCCTTTGGATAAAAAAGGCCTGGAGTTGCCTTTGAGAAGCTAGTGTGGGGGAGTAGAGAAATCGCTAGACTGAAGCAAAAGTGGGTCTGTGGATCAAGGCTGGGATCAGTGCTGCAGAGGGTGGCTTGTGAGGCAATAAAGGAATAATTCACCACAGGGAAATGTCCATTTTGCTACTAATTTTACAGCACTGCAGACGTCATAGCATAGGAGCTGTAGTAATCAGTGCTTCTAAGTCTGTGCTACTGAGTTTAAAACTAGAATGATTACAACACAGGCATGAGGACACAAATAGCTGGAGGTTCACCATGATAAAAATTAGAGTTGAATTTTGCCTTCAGAGGGTTCATTCTTGCCCCCCAAAGTTGCAAATGTGCTGTATGGCATGCTTCTAGTATAAAGCAAAGATACAGAGTTGTTGCATGAAATCCTAATCCTGTTTATTTTAAGAGATTGCTGTTGGATCAGGGATTCAGGATTTTTGTTGCTGTCCTTGATATTACACCTGAGGGAAGACCTTTCCTTACAGAAATATGATTGCCTTTTCCCTGATTGAATTAATTTAGCAAAAAATATTGCAGACCATCAGGTACTGACAGCACAAAGCCTAAAACCATTTCCAAATGACAATTTAATATTCTAAATAGTTCTAAAATAACACCAAAGTTTAAAACAACAAAGTTCATAGTCTAGTCTGGCTTTTTGTAAGATTAAATATCGTAATCATTGCTTGGTCTCTTTATTAAGCTGCATAAAGATACTTTTTGTTTCTTCTTTACTAGGCCTGAACACCTTCATTCCCTGTCAAGCAAATGATAAGAGGGAGGCCCAAGCTCCAACTAGTTTCAGGCATCCTGCACAGCCACACAGAGCTGTGCTGGCTGCTGTTTCTGTCGGCCCTGCCCGTGAAACGAGTATGTGTACGGGATATGGCACGTTGGAAGGGAAGATCTGCGATGTGCAGGGTGTATGTAATAGCATGTTACGCACAGATCCTTCATAGGTAGAGCTTATCAGGAAATCCAGAATTTTCAGCTGTGAAGGTCGCTGGAAAATTGGACTGAAATCTTAAATACAGCGGAGATACTAGTCCAGGGTTTTGAGAACTGGAAAGGTCTTTCAAAAAAGAAAGTCAGTTGGAGTTTCATGTGCTTTCTAGCAGGCCACATGTGCTCTCTAAGCAATCACTGACCCTATCTTTCCAAATACATTCACTGTTTAAATCTAGTCTAGATAATTTTTTCTGACTATTAACTCACCATTACTTTTTTTTAAAGAACATTTAGGATGTAGGAATGAGGTCTACAATATTTAAGGCTCACATTACACTTTAAAATATATTTTAGGAGATTTGTCTTTCTAAAGAACGAACCTTCTTTAAGTAAGGGAGGATTTATTTTGTCTGCTTTTGTGATAACAGTTAATATTCAGCTGCATTTAAAAAAAAAAAGTGGGATTATTATGTTGTTGAAATACACATAGACCTGTGTTCTATCAAATTGTTGTCTGAACTGTGTATATGTTTCAAGTAGGAAACCTGATAGTTGATAAATTAGCGCCTAATTTCAAATACTTGGGAAAACAGCAATTGTATCTTTGTTTGCACTTGTGTAGCAGAAAATGAAGTAAGCTGCTAAAAGTAATACAGATAAGATACATTTCCATGGCATTAGCAACCTGTATGTCTGGCTTGACACATCCAAACCTTCTGGCTCAGTAGAATAGTAATAATTTAAGTATTTTAAACTATTGTGGAGACTTTAAATGTCAATGAAATAAATGACTTGTTGATAATTAGAACAAAAAAGCCTTTACGTCAGCACGGTAGCAATAAACACAGAGCACTCCTCACTTCTGACGAAGGGTTTATGTGTTTTATACCATGATTTAGGTACTTCAGGCGTGTGACTGAATTCCATGTGTTTATTGGAGGAGTAACTTGTTTTCCCCTTGTTTCTTAACGGCTTAGTCTTTAATTCGTGTGGGAAGGGGTGAGCAGGTCTAGGGAGGGGATTCTGC